TCCCATTCAAACATATTAAATTATGAACTGAATATATATATATATGTGTGTGTGTGTGTGTGTGTTCTGTGAAGTTTGTTATACACTTGTTCATGTATTAAATGCATAATTATTTCAAAGTTTGACTTTCTTTTTACTGTTATTTGTATTACAACAAATTTGCTTTCAACAAAAAGCTCCAAAAAAGGATTTTTAAAGGAGATATGTTTATATTTTTATCCAAAATACTAGACATTCATCCTATTGATTCTTTTTTTTAATATAACGAGTGAAGTTTAATGGGCAAGGGAGTGATAAAGTCAGACCTGTGCTTTAAAAATATCACTTTGGCTGTTGTATAGGGGATGGATTAGAGAGGGAGAATTGAGGCAGGGAGATCAATTAGAAGGATACAGTAATAGTCCAGGCAGGACGTGACGAGCGTGTGAACTAGAATGGTAGCCATGTGGATGGAGAAGAGATAGGTGAGAAAGATGTTATGAAGGCAAAATTGATAAGACTCGGCAACTGATTAGGTGGGGGAGGGAGAAGAGAGACAATGAAGAGGTAAGGATGTCTTCTTATGAACCCAGATGATTAGAAAGTCTGTGCTGCCTTCAACAGAAATACAGAAACTAGGAAAAGGGGCTAGGTTTGGGGAGTAAAGAGCTAATGTTTTCATTTTTCTCCATCTTTGAGTTAGGAAATAACAATCTTTAGCAGAATTTCCTGCTGTTTCTTTGGAAAAAGTAGAAATGACAGAGTAATGCTGTCAACACTTTAAATTCCTAAGCTGTATACAAAGGTCAGCTATAGTAAAAATGATGAAGCATTCATAAATGATAATTGTAATAGTAAACTTACCAATAAAGACACCTTGATAAAAGTCATATCTTTGTTTTTGGCTAAACAATATCAGAAGGAAAATAATTTTGTGCTGAATTATGACCCTACCTCAACATCTTGTTCAATATAAAAAGTCCTATTCAGCTCAAAGAATGAGGTTTTGAAGCCAATCTGTTGTTTTTTTTTTTCCTGGCATTAAATTTTTAAGGCCTGTAGAGATGGCATTTTCAGAATTCACATTTGGTAGAGCATACCCTTCTCAATGCCAATTGAGAAAAATCTTAAGAGTATATGGTTTTCTATCAATGAGTTCTATTGTAAAGCTTTTAATGTCACACAGCTCTGACTTGAATATGAGACAGAACTTTAAAATTGAAAATGGTATAGAAGAATGGAAACCTACAGTAAAAGGCAGGTGAAAGTTCCATGACCTCTGATCTAACTGGTCTGTTCCTATGAATCACTGCTTTGGGGCAGTGAGAGACCTTATGGCTCATAAACTAGATGATATTTAGAAGAGCAAAAGAGTTCATACTTAGAAGCCCAGGTTACTGATGGAGGGAGGAAAAAGTAAGTATAATGAAGAATAGCATATTTAAGAATGAATTACTAATGTTTTTCTTTTTAAGTATTAATAAAAAAAACCTCACATATCACATAGACATTCATTACTTATTCAATGTATACCACTGGGAAACGAATAGAACTGTTAGAATACAGAAATGCCAAAGGTAATTCAACTACAGCAGTGTAAGTGTAGCATAACTGATTTGTCATGACATACAATTTTCTAAAAGCTATTCTGTTAGAAGGCAATAAATGGGTGAACAAATGATTTACACTCTTCAGAATCATAGTTATTATTCAGTATTTTATTTTTTTAAAAAATATGTATCGTATACTATTATGTTTATTCTCTTGGGTATAATAAACACATAATTGAATTTGATGAAAAATGGGCTTTATTCCAAATGCAGCATATAGTACACACAGTAGCTCCCTTGTTTTATCCCTTGTGAAGATCAATGGTCACTTGAGATGATTTCACTCTATGTTAAATTTAATATATGGGCAATAAAAATATTTTTAATTTAGAATTAGATCCATATTTTCCTCCATCTTTTTTTTTAAAGCCATGGGTCATTCCTAAGTTTTAGCCAAATAACATTTTACAAATTTAAAATATATTTTAATTATCCTCTTTTAAAATATTATTTTCTTACTACAGAGGAAAGAAAATCAAATGTGAAGTATTCTGTTTAAAAAAAAAAAAGGATCCTGCAGTGAGAATGTCACAAATTTCACTGATTTCTGACATCTGGATGGAACTAAATGTGAACCAAGTCCTAGGAATAAGGTTATGTGCTTTGTAAATGGGATATTTTTGTTTTTTTTAAACTCTATCTCCACCCTCTACCACCACCAATTGGATTTAGATACTGTTTTGCTCAGCTACATAGTTTATAAATTTAAGTAAGTTCCCCTGCATTAAAGCCTTGATCTGATTTTGACATTGCATGGAAGTGACACCTCTCTTTAATGAAGTCCATGCCAATGCAGCATGAGGCCTGTTAGGTCTTATCAAGATGGAATGAACTGAACTTTGAGTAAGGTCATCAAAATGCACTATGTTTCTGTTTAATGATGTCTGGAGAGGTTCATCAGAAGGCTGACCATCAAAATGATGACATTTTTTACTATGGCAACTCACAAAATATGGAAGAGCTAAGATCTTTATTCGAAGAGTGAGTTTCTATCAAAATAAAAGCATAGATCTTTGAAGTTATCAGAGTAAGTAGCTCTTAGAAAATCAAATACGTGTGTCCTCTTTATGGATTTCTTCCATACTGTCAATATCTACCAATTTCTTATCTCTATTTTTTAACAAACAAAGACAATATATAGAGGTTATGAACAAAATCCTTGATCTTCTGAAATACTAAAGAAGAAACCAACTACTTGCTTAACACATATCTCATTTGGAGGATTTGGTTATCTCAGACTACCATTATAACATATGACAAAGGATTGATTATATTCTTAAAAGCCAATATGAAGAAAACCAATGGAAAAATTTTACCTGATAAGCACTATTTTGAGATTTTCAGATTCTGTAAAAATTCAAAAAAAGTTTATCTCGATTTTAAATAAACTAAAGGACTTATGGTACAGAGGTCCTCATTCTTTTTGTGTAGGAGGAAATGTTTTGAAAGTCAAAAACTTTCATCGTCCCATAACATGATAAAAGTTGTATTATTAGTATTCATTTGTTGAGAAAATACATTATGACAAGAAGTTACTATGAACTTAGCAACACTTTTAAACGAATCATAGTACAGAGTTGTGCAAACCTTAAAATGCTATATAAATGTATCCTATTAATTACTACAACATCGATATAGGATAAGTACAGACACCAGTTCTGTGATGTGCTGTCACTGGTTTAGGTAACCCCCAGGTGAAGAAACCCGCAGTATGAAAACAGATAGCTATCTTCCCTGCAACATACAGCCTTGGAGAGTGGCCTGGAGCAGGGTTTCTTAAACTTTTTCTACTTGCAACCCCTTCAGCACTTCTGGCTAGAGTATTGAGAAGTTAGGTGATTCTCTCAGTATCACACAAGCCATTGTGTGTCAGAGGAGGGATTTGATTTCACATCATCCTGGCTTTGATGTCAACTATACCATGCTGCCTCTCAACATCTACAGATAATGAAAAATCATAATGCCTATGTGTGTAAGCAAGCCTCAAAGCCAGGAAGACCTGGGTTCAAGTCCCACTTCTGACACATAATGGCTTGTGTGATGCTGAGAAAGTCACCTAACTTATCAATGCTCTTGGCAATGATCTAAGACTCTAAGTTGCAGAGGATGGTTAACCTGCATCAATAGACTGAATCTCCTCATACGGGTCTTTATCGACAGTGAAATCACAGATTTCTAAATGGGCAATCCATATTACTTATTCAATCTACATAAGGAATAGTTCATTATTTATGGATTGGTATATGGATTCACAGATACCTTGCCATTCAATAGCTCAAGTGGCTAGAGCTTGTAGATGACAGATTGGCAACCACTGCTGAAGAGCATTGTGTAACAGCATTTTTCAATGTGGTCTGCATTACTGTACACCTAAAATCAGGTGAATTACTGTGTATAAGACCCATTAATAGGAAATCAATAAATTAAGAATCAGTTCCCAATCATTGGTCCCTTGGACAACCAAAATATATGTCAGCAAAGGGCTATTTGAAAAGTTATAAAAGTGACCATATAGAATACTATTTGCCTGTCCTTCCCTTATGTCATCACTGACTACACCACCTTTCAGGTTTACTTGACAAGAGTTAAATTATCTCTAGCATCCTTTAGAGAAAAACCTATACCTTCATTAAAGTCCAAAGTAAATGAGAAGCAAATTCAGGACATGAAACCTCATAGAAAGATGATGCATCTTTAAAAGATTTATCAATATGAGTACTGTCTCCATGAACATAGATCATAACTCCTTAGTAGACTATTTCATGAATTGTTATGAACAAAAAATTACAAATATCATCGTTTAAAATGTTCTATTTTCTGAAAATCAGACATGACTCAATGATCTTGTACTATATATTTTTGATAACAAATTTGAAATCTGAACTATATAGTTTCTGTGAACTATAGTTCTCCAAATGAGAACGCTTAACTCAACATGCTAATCAAAATCAAATACTAGATTACTCAGAAATAAATATTACTAAGCTCTATTTCAGAGAATATTTGTTATAGACATCTATTCAAAAGCAGTGCCTATATTTTTCATTCTTGTTAAGAGCACCAATCTAGATAAAGTCAGTCACGTTAATTTCTAAGGCACAGACCCGAAGAAAAGCCAATGGATTAAAATATAAAACAGTATAATTGCTCAAAACAGTAAAAGCAGGGGCAGCTAGGTAGCGCAGTGGATAGAGTACTGGCCCTGGATTCAGGAGGACCTGAGTTCAAATTTGGCTTCAGACACATAACACTTACTAGCTGTGTGACCCTGGGCAAAAGTCACTTAACCCCCTTGCCTAAAAAACAAACAAAACAACAACAACAACAACAACAAAACAGTAAAAGCAGACCAAGTAAAGTCATTGTAAAAAAACATAAAACAATTCAATTTTTAAAATTAACACCATTTACCTTGCAGCATTTCTCTCAATCTTTTCATCAATGTCACTGAAGATTTGTTCAAATTCTAGGTCTCCAGGAAATGAATTTAACAAACAATCTATGTCAAAAGAATTATAAGCATATTCATCTCCCCACTCCATCTCAAGGAACTGAAATAAATTTTAAAAAGTATTAGTTACTAAGAAATGCAAATAATGTAAGTAATAACAATATCAAATTATAAGAAATATCTAAAATACACAAAGACAAAACCCAAAATTAAATGAGACAGTAGAACAATTGGGATCATAACAGAATAAGCAAAGTAAAAAGATTTTAAAAAAATATTTCACTAGGGCAAACTTTATTTTCCTTTCTATGGTCTTGGAATCTTATAAAATAAAATCTCTTAAAAAACACATCAGCACCATGCACCTATCACTGTGAGATTTACAGCAATCAAAAATTATAGGTCATTGCAGAATACCTAAGAAACTAATAAGAATATTATTAGATGTCTTGCTCAAAGCCAGGTGACAAAAATGTCCCCCATCTCCTCTCCTTGTTCTGACCAACAGCCTGGACTTGGATACTACGGAATCAGATACTAAAAGTTTCCACCATATTAAGAGATGAGATGAGACCTTTTGGCCGCATGTCATTACCTCTCTCTGACCACAACCTCTTGACTGTCGACTGCCCACTGTTCCCTCTCTGTCTTACTACTCTTAAACATATTCTTTGTCTTCAGTGTGAACTCCTTCCTGTTCTACCAGTTTATTATACTTATTGTGGTTATACTTTCCTCCCATTACAGTCTTCACCCTATGATTAATCAGTTCAACTACATACTATCTTCTACTACTGAATTCCTTGCCTTCTTATCCTAAAGCCTCTCATGCCTTGCCAAACCTTAAACATGGGTTGCCTCACCTTCTTCTGTCTTCCTTATTCCAAGTCATGTACTGCTGAACACAAATGGAGGTAGTCACATAACCACATTGACTAGATCCACCTTAAGTTTGTTACCTAATCCTTTTTAGGCCCTCATTGCTTATTCACTACCATCAAATGATCTTTTCCCAAATTAGTACATTAAATATAACACATTCCAACTTAGTATTTTACTTTCTTTGATTTTTTTTTCTGACCCAACCTCATCTAAGTACACTTGCTGTTATTGTTGCTGTTGTTGCTGTTTGTCCTTTGTTTCTAAAGCGATGTCATGATGTGATGTCTTGACTCTTATGAGAATTGGATTTAAGTAAGGCAGAGCTGCACATAAAGTTGTTAGCCTCACTCTCTCTTCCAGAATCATCAAAATTCACTTATGGGGTTATGGCAAGAACACAGCAGTGAAAACAGATTATCTCTGGAGATGATAGGTTACCAACTGCTAGACTTGCAGTGCTTCTTAACTGTGGGTCACAATGTGCTGACGGGGTCACGAATTGAAAAAGTTTAAGATGCCTTGTACTAGAGGACTTCCATCAATGTTTCAATGACCATGTGATCAGTACTGTCTATAGAGGGGGTTCTTCTTCAGGTAGAGGTGAGGCTAGATAGCCTCTGAGGTCTCTTTCAACTCTTTTCTTGAACTGACCGCCATCCTCCCAGTCATACCAATTTATAGCCTTGGAGTCATTTTTGACCCCTCTCTATCTTATCCCCCATATAAAATCAATTATCATGTCTTGTTAGTTTCTACCTCTGAAAAAAATCTCTCCTTAACCTCCTTTTCTCCACCTATATGGACACCACCCTAGTTCACACCTTGGGGGTACAGCAATAGATTTCTAATTAGTCTTCTTGCTTCTAGTTTCTCTCTTTCTCTGATCCACATTCCTTGTTGCTAACAGTTGCCAAAAAAAAAAAATCTTGCAAAAGCACAGGTCTAACCATGTGACTCATGAACTCAAGAAATTTCAGGGGTTCCTTATTATTTCTACAATAAAATAAAAAATCCTCTGTTTGCCCTTCACATTATGGCTCCCATCTCTCCTTCCAGTTTGATTTCACACGATTTGTTTTCACATACTCTACCTTGGAGTCAAACTGGCTTACTTGTTCTCAGAACTCACATTCTATCCACTGCATCCATGACATTGTTCAGGCTGTCTGTCCCCAAAGCTAGGAAAGCATTTCTTCCACAAATCTACCTTTTCAAATTCTTAGCTTCTTTCAAGGTGGATTTCAGGTACCACTTCTTACAGAAAAGTCTTTCTTCATATTCTTAGTCATTCATGCTCTCTCCCTCCTCAAATGATCTTGTATTTACTGAACCCCAGTGGGATTCAAGTTCTTTGAGAATTGAGGCTAGTATCTAGGGCTAGGATGATAGATAGAAAGCTGGAAGCCAGAGCTGACCTTAGAGGTCATCTAGTGTGGGGCTTCTTAAACTTTTTTTCCACTTGAGACTCCCCCTTTTCTCCTTTTGGCAGAGTTCATTGGTGTTGCATGGCCTGAGGGCATGGGCAGTGCAAGGTGTGCACATGCTTTGTGTTCAGAACCAAGGCTATAGTGAAGTTGCACAATGCATAACCAGCAAGTGTTGCCAGAAATGCCTCAGATTCATTATGCATTTGATTTTTAACTAATTTTGGTCATTGTGGGCATTCAGAAACCTTTTACTGTTGCCAAATTTTCATGACCCCATATGAGGTTGTGATTCACAGTTTAAGAAGTGCTGAATTCTAGTCCAACACTCTCATTTTACAGATGAGGAAACTGAGACCCAGAGAGATTAAATAATTTGTTCAAGATCAGAGAGAATGAATATCAGAGGCAAGATGTGAACCTATGTCCTCTGGCTGCAGAAGCCAGTAAGATTTTCGTTGTATCATTTCTATATCCCTAATACCTAGCACAGAGCCTTGAATACAGTAGTGATCTAAACACTTGTTTTTGTTTTTATTTCAACTAATTAAAACTGGTAAGATACCTTATGTGCCACCACAAATTCATTTTGGAAAAGTAATGTAAATCATATTTATAGATTGATGGATGTATCCTCAGTTGTGAATCAGGATAAAATAGAATACTCTCTGGAGACATCAGTCTAATGTATTACTATGTCGAATAACACTAACCCAAAAAAAAAAGGGTCACTGAAATCTTGGGTGTCATCTGCAAGTAATTTGACAATGCTGAGGGTGTGAATTATTGCCAGAGACCATTGATACTAGACCAGGGATTCTGTGAATATAGAATATTCCCAAGTAGAAAGGGGGCAGGGAAACTTTGAGGGGAAAGAGAAGAAATTAATCTTATTTTCACACTAAAAAAACTTATGGATAATAGGAGCATTTTGATAACCACAGGTTTCTATTTTCCCCTTAAATATCACTAACAGTGGCATTCACGTTGCATAGAAAATATTAGATGTGTGGAACATAAATGGAATAAAGGTAATGTTAGACTAGAGGGAACCTTAGAAATCATCTTGTCTATCTCTTCTATTTTACACATAAGGAAACTGAGACCCAGAAATCAAGTATCTTGACCAAGATCATACAGCTGAGTTAAGTCTAGAACTCAAGTCTCCAGACTACTGGTCCAGGGCTCTCTCCATTTTACAATATCATCACTAGATGAATCCATAATAACATAACAGATTATTAAAAGATTTTTTTTTAGTATAACTTGAATTTCCTGGCAGTATGGTGCCTTAGAGTTGGAATCAAAGACCGGGATTCAAATCCTGCTTCTATTACTTGTGTGTCCTTGGACAGTCACTTAAAACTCTAGTGTACCCTCTGATTAAAACCAAGAAGCTGACCTCTGTGATACCTCCCAGCTCTAAATTTATGATCCTATGACCATTAGATGACACAGTGGTTAGAGCACTGGACTTGGAATCAGGAAGACCTGAGTGCAAATCCAGCCTCAGATACTTACTGGCTGTGGGACTATAGACAAGTCATATGACCTGTTTGCCTCAGTTTCCCTAACTGCAAACAGGACCTACATCCCAGGATTGTTGCATGAATCAAATGAGATAACATTTGTAAGGTGCTTAGCACATTGTCTAACACATGGTAGATGTTATATAAATGCTCATTCCCTTTTTTCCTTCCCCTTTAGAAGTTGATGTCATTGTGGGTGATGAACTCAGTCTACAAAAGGTTTTTTGGTGCCACTGTCTGAGTCAATACGGATTTGAGGACAGCACTTCTTACTTTCTTACACATAAGTCATGGTGCATTTATGTAATATGTATAAGAAATGAGACCTGTTTCTTTTATTTTCTCCTTATAATTCTTCATAGCAGTGATTCTTAAATTTTTTTGGTTACAAACTCCTTTTTAAACATTTTTTGTTTTAAACTCTTAAAAATTATTAAGGATCTCCCAGAGAGCTTTTATTTATGTAGGTTATATCTAGTTACTTACCATATTAGAAATGAAAACACCTTAACATTATTATGAAGACAGTTTTGACCTCACGAACCTATTGAAAGGCTTTCATAGGGACCTCCAAAGGTCCCTGAATCAAATTTCAAGAACTGCTGTTCTACAGGAATGGGAGTGAAAGAGGAGAGGGGATAAGGAAAAAAACCAATACCATAATTTGTTTATGACAGTGATGGTTTCTTTATTGTCATCATCAGTCTTTGCTTATTGAACTGGGTGGTTTAAAATGTCTAGTAACTTTGGGGCATTTTAAATATAACACAATCAATACCAATAGTATTCAGGGTACTGGTTTCAATATCAATCTAGTGGCTTTAGAAAAAAATCTCTCACCTCAACACAAAACAGTTGAGAAATACAAAAATACTCCTAATCTAACAATTCACAGATTCTAAAAGTCTAGAGATAAATATTTCCCATGGAGAACTTGATCTTTTCCTCCTCCTACTATGCTGAGAGAATCAGTGTACACTAATCTGGAGAGAAATAACAATCAAGTCAATTTTGCCTAAATGTTCAAGGGAGCCTCCATCTCAGTGAACAAATTAGTACTGATTAGTCATAACATACTGAGATGCAGTACTCATCTGCAGTGCTCCTTCAAAACATATGTACTAGCAGCCTAGAACAAAAAGCACTGTGAGACGCATCAAGAATATGAGGAGGTTTGCCACGTCGGTCTGGCTGAATGCGAAAAGCAGCAGAAAGATATTACTGAACATATGTCTGATCAAAGAAAGAGGTGGGCCAACAATCTA